ATTTAAGTTTAACTTACAGTAACTTAACGCAATGGTAGACGCTTTGAGGATGTAGACGTTGATCAATGTCTTCTTTCGATGGAATAACTGATTGGAAAAAATTTATTCATTATACAATACACATAGAATACATAATGTGCACAGTAAATACATCACAGTGTAGAAATCACAGTATAGAAATCACAGTAAATAAATCAGAGTAAATGAATCACAGTACACAAGAAAATAAATATCGAAGCCAATGGTTCTCGAACATCTGTAACATACAAGGGATTAGTAACAAGAGAGGGGACACAACAATATGCACAGTAAATAAATTAATAATATGCACAGTAAATTAAGTGATGGTTGTCGAATGCCTGCAACAAACAATGGGTTAGTAATAAGAGGAAGGACGAGTATGAGACGCGCGCCCACCCTCCGCGACGGCTCACGAGAAAGTGAGGAAGCTAACGCCGTTATGTATTGGGCGTACGGCGTACGCAGGTTTCTTCGTGTTGAATTGTTTTTGCCGGCTTGAACGACCTTCCTTGAACGACCCAAACACCGGATGGTACAGCCAGGTACGGCTATGGTACACGGCGTACACGGCGAGGTCAATAAACTGTGTGACGCAACGTCACTAGTGCGCTGGACCGACGGAGAGCACCGATACCGCGGCACGCTCTACCGTACTCTCTCGCTCGCACACCTCCCCCCATAGACCACTGAAATTCCTCGGCACGCGTCAACACCGACGGAGAGCACCGATACCGCGGCTCGCTCTACCGCTCTCGCTCGCTCGCCGTGACGTCACCCGATTCCCGGAATCCCGCGGCCACGAGATGGCTCATTACGGTAAGGCATTCCCGCAACGGCCAAAAGGTAGATTTGATAAACTACTTATGAAACTACATCTATTCTGAATTTATCTGTTACAAATATACAAGTGTAAGGCAAGATATAAAAACGAATAAAACAAGAACATGTAAAAAGTAACATTAATAAAATGTCCATTAACGATGCATTTAGAATAAATTGTCTTGTAGTTAAGTGAAAAAATATATACTTTTCCGTTTCATGTTTCATGACTGTCATATTTATCCCTTAACCTTAAACTGAAGCATCGGATATTTTTATTCTCGTGAAGTCATATAGATTCACGTAATATGAATGGAATATATAACACTTCATATGTGCTAATAATACTCAGAATTCATGATTTATCGGTAACGTCGGATATTGACACTAAAATGGTAACAGGGCTACGTAGCCCTATGAACGTAGGACAGAAAAAAGCATTGGATGATAGGTCTATTCTATACCTAGTCGGTGGTGCAACTATAGGTTTTTCTTGGTCGATTTGCAGCGCCATTGGTGATAAGGGCCGTACTAAAACGAGTGCCGAATTTCCGGGACGCGTTTGAATTTCGGAACGATTTATAATAGACGAGACAGTGAATGACTGGTGGCTACTGTATGAGATCGTGTATGATAAATTTGAGTTATAATAAATTTGATGTTAGGTGTTCGCAATTTTAAATATGTTTATTAAATCTATTACATAATATACGTATATACAATAATTAAAAATAAAAACTAAAACAATCGCATCGTGATCCGAACAGGGTCTTTCTTCATCATGAACGATCGCGTGAAAGAAATCATGCTGCTCTCGGCGTTGGTCCCTTACTTTTCTAGATCTGAAAAGAAGTATGCACATAGTTTAAACCGCAATTGGAATAATAGTACTACTACCGAATATGACAATGAAGCGTGTCTCAAATTAATATCTTCCAAGCTTTCATTTTACTGTACGTAACATATTAATGTGATGGATATTTCTTCCCATTTTTTCGTACTGCAATAGTTAGAATGAAGGTAACATCTAATTGTAAGAATAATTTGTGTATAGTATATATAAGAGAATATGTATTTGTGTAATATAAAATTTAAATATTAAAGAGGAATAAATACATCTCCCATTTCTTTAAAATGCTTCTTGAATTAGTATCTTCGAAGCTTTTATTTTACTGACATATTACAAAATGAAATTATACAATAATTAAAAATAAAAACTAAAATCGTCGCATTGGGATTCGAGCGGGGGTTCGGACGGGGTCTTCATATGAGCGCGTGAGAGAAACCATATACTTTCGGCGTTTAGGACGTAAACTTTAGATTGCTTGGGATTTGGGATTTTTTACCTGGCATAGGCCACTCGACCCGGTCGAGTCGACCGTCGCGTCGTAAACATGTGATGTAGGACTTTTGCCGAGAACACCCGAAGCAGAGCGCACACGACAGAAGTAGAATATGCTTGTGTAAAATACCCATGGGAGGCATGGAGAGGGCAAGCGCTCGCGCGAAAATCCCACGATTCTGGCATCAGCGCCAGTGCCTCCAGTGGCTCCAGTCACTTTCTTCCTTCCCTTTGTGATGTGTGAGCTAGATAGGAGTTACTCCAACGTTTATTCTGTCTGCAATGCGCCTTTAACGGTGTTTCTACATTCATAATATTTATCACCATTAGACTGCTGATTTTATATATTTATTTACAGTACACTTGATCGTCTAAACTTTAATATAGATAAAAGTTTAATAAAGCGCATTGAGATTTTTGTTTTATTTGAAACCTATTGAAACCCTTCAAGATACCTATAAATCAATTCATAAATTTCTACATCTTTTTGAACATACACAGTCGACTCATTCACTTCTATCTGTCCACTTTGTAATATAATTATAATTTCCTATTGTTTATTATACATACACATTGTAGTCATGTGCTGTTAACTTTGAGTTTTCGCATGTTCTGATTCTTTTTGTAATGGGTGTGTTTGTTCATCATTGATTTTTGTTAGAGTATATATGGCCATACGCTTTTTTAAAACAGGATGTTGCTCATACTGTATGGTAATACCCATTCTGTGCTCAAAAAATTCCAACATTTTTCTCGCAACTAACTTGTTATTTTCATGTACCTCTGAATGCTCCAGGTATGTGGTTAACTATAAAAATAATAGAAACAAATTGTAACACCGCTGAGAATTCATATGTCCACAGCGGACGATAATTACCTTCATCCATTGACATTGTGAAATTTCTCTATCACATTTTTTAATATCAAAATTATTGGGAGACAAATAAAAGATTGTATATATATCAGAACAGCTAAATGCAAAATCATGAGCATGCCTGAAACCAATCAAACATTTAAAAGTAGTCTGAATACCAGTTTCTTCAAGAACTTCTCTTTTCACAGCTGCTTCTAAATCTTCACCTATTAAGAGAGAAAAATGATTAATTATGTGGCCATAAATTTCTGAACTAATGATAGATAGATGTACCTGGATCTACATATCCACCCGGTAGTTTCCAGAATGGGGTTCTGTATGTATATCTTTCCTTGATAACTAAGATTTCATTACTTTTTTCATTATATACAAATGCTCCAACTCCTAAATTGGTGTGCGCATAATGTGGAACATTACATTCTTCACTTTTGACTAGCCACTGATATAAAGTAACATATTGCTCCCGGGCATGATGGAACTTAAAACCTTGTTTAACCAGTATTGGTACCCATTCAGAGTGTGGTAAATGTACACGAAACCATATTGTGCGCTTTCTATCTTTTATCCACTCTTGTAGAGAAACTATTGCAAAGTTACAGTTAGAATAAGAACATTAGCCTGCTAGTAAAAATTTTAATAATTAATTATAACAAAATAAAATAGTGAACATAGTAAACGTTGAAAACTCGATGAAATAATAAATATTTTATAAGTTTTCTGTTAACAAATAATGTAACATACTTTTTAGACGCTGAGCGAACACTTCTGGTTCACAAGATTCTTCGGTTGAATCAACGGTTACGCCGTTATAGTGATCGTTATGCCCTTTAAAGCATTTTGAAGCCATCATTAAAGTAGATTTAACACTTGTAAAATAAAATGTGGGTAGAAAAGTGGACACGAATTTCGAAGAAAATTGTTGCTGTTTTAACAAAGTGGTAACGCAAACAAATTTCGAAAATACGATATTATGCATTGGAACATCTACGAGTTTAGATAAACGACAAACGTTTACGTTATTTTCCTATCGAATGTTTTACTATGAAAAACTTTATTACCTCTCTTCGTAAGGACGTACAGACACTGTTGGAAGTCTGTATATACGTAACACGAATTGAAATTTTTTTATTCAAATGTGTGCAATAATAACGTAAACATTATAGAACATTATAACCTGATCCTCATGTTATGAAATATCTTTGCAATAAATACGTTATATAATTCTCAATATTTTTTATTATATTATTTACTATAGTATTTCTTGTCACAATATGTAAAGTGTATATATATTATATTTATTAAGTACAAATTTGTAAAATGTATAAAGTTTCATGCATTGTTCTTAATACATTATAACTGAAACATTCAAGTACATACATACATATCTACTAAAAGATTATGAATCACCTATAATTACAAGATGGCGATCACTATTGTATAGTTCCCTGATAATCAGTTGTGTGCAAGTTTCGAGCAAATTACCAGAAAATAATGACAAAAGTTGGCTAAAAAACCATAGCCATCTATTTGCGCAATTTTACTTGGGTTTTGCAGGCAAAGCCTGCTGATAAAATGGTAAAGCAAATTGGCAGCAAATTGACAGCAAGTCTTGCAACACAATTGATGTTAACTAACCTAGATCAATTTATAACCTAGGCTATATTGCAAGTCGTGCTGCTAATCTGCTACCAATCTCCATGCAAGTTGTTGATAGCAAATCTTGCATCGAACTTGTAGCCATGTTGAGTACGTAACATTATACATAACAGGCATTGGACAAAAGTTGCCTTTACAGGTTTGGCTAACATATATAACTATGTTAGGCAATTATCATTCTTTGTTACGTTATATGCAAAAACGACGATATGATTATTATTAATATTATTTATTTATATATTATTATTAATATATTTTAAATAAAACAACAGCAGCGTGCGTAGTATGTTAGCCTACTATAAATCTGTGCTTGTAAGGAAGAACACTACGTCACAATTTAAAAAAAATTGAGTTCATGCCTCAAATGAACTGTAGAGTCTATGTATTTATCAGAAAAAATGCGTGGAGACAAATCTTATATGTTCGAAAGAGTAGTATATAATTTAACCAAAGTCTAATATTCAATTCTTATATGTATATGCATTAGACTGATTAGACAATCAAGTATCTTTCTTTTGTGATCGATTTTCACTGTCTATTTTTATTAATCTGCTTAATTTGTATAAAATAAAATGTACAAAATTATATTCCATATTTTTATTTTAGTAGAAATGACACACTATTACATAGAAGTGTTAAATATATATATGCAACTTGTATTTTACAAAAGACAACGCAATGCATATAAGAATACTATGCAAAGTGAAGGAAATATACATTTATATCATAAAAAGAAAACAAGGAAACATTGCTAATAAAAAGAATTGGTATTTGGAACTTTAAACGACAATATCTCGCAAATCAAACCATGTGAGATGCGGTGTTTTTCCTTAAAACCACAGAAATAATAACTATTGCACTTTTTTAATCAGACAGAACAAGTAGAAAAATGAATGGTGAAACAATACATGGTGAAATCGATAATTCCTTATGTTAATATTTTTTGTAATGTAATAAATTAATTGATATTAAAGAAATGTTAATTATGACATTATAAGGTAATACTTAATTAAAGGAATCAAGAGGTACAGTCTCGATGTTTGTCCCAAAATGATTCTATATCTTCGTACACCTTAACAGTAGGGGAATTGTAATGCAGAGCTTCGCAAACACGACAATAATGTCGTGAACTACTTCCAAAATAACCATGCTCGTTAATTACTTTGTAATATTTACGCCACTCATGATACTCAAGGTATTTATCATCATGGCGATTAAGATACAGAATATAATTAACCAAAGTAGTTGGATTGGCGAAATCACTGACATGAAGAAAAGAATGAGGTGGTAATAACTGTTCGCAGTCTTTCTTTGGCGCGCCCATTATTATCGGAATAGCTAGCTTGTGATAGCCGTTCCAAAATACTTTCTCTGTAATATATTCTTTACAATTTGAATTCTCGAAGGCCAAATAAAATTTATAAGCGTTTAAAGCTTCACAATCCCTGTCGAAATGGCCTGGACATGCGGTCACATTGCCGGTCAGGCATTTTCCGTATATATCAAGTTCGTTGCGAAGAATTGATTTAAGCTCGCTCACGTACTTCCATCTTCTCTTGATACCAGCACAGTTACTACCCATCACAGCGACCAGTTTAGTTTTGGACTTCTTAATAAAATCTTTCGGAAAATTGGCGATTCCTGAGTTTAGACGCGATCTACGCACTACTCGGCCGTATGGTACCGGAATATCGCTGTCCATCCGATAAGACATCGACCAGTTGAACAAGCCATTATATTCTGAAATTTGTTGATTTCCGTAAAGAAAAGTGTGCATTGGTGATTCGTCAGTCAAAAAAATCCATCTTTGTCTCCTATGCTGTCTAGCTGGCAATTCTGATATATCCTTTGTCAAATGCAAATGAAATATTACTGCATCCGCTATAGCTATATCCCTTGAACGATACGTCAACATACATTTCGTCACCGAACAATTTTGCCATGGAGAAAATCTGCAAATAATAATCGATGACATTTTAATCTAGATTCCGATCAAATGGACGACTTAATGCATATCAATATCGTTAAATTAACAGTTATTGTTTTTTTTAATGATGTCACTAGCCCATTTAGTTATATTAACTTTTTCTTTGTAAAGCGTTTGATGTGCCTGCGTTCCAAGAATTTCCCGTGCATCCAAATTAAGATCAAATAAGGTTCCCTTTTTGTATTAATTGTCGTCGGAGGAACACTTCCCTCAGAAGACAAAAGCCACCTCCCAAGCAAAGTCATCCTATTAATCTGATACGAATAAAGAAGACGCGAATTAATTATTTTTCAAGTACTGAGAATGGAAAATTTTCGAGGATCTTACAATAATTACTACATCGTTTCTCAAAAAAAGGTTGTTAATTAAAGAACCCTGAGTCTACGCTATAGCTTTACCTCATTCATTTCCAAATTCGTCGAAAATTGATCAAAGTTGAAGATGACAAATGTGAAAAATGCTATTTATATCTACTGATTGTTCCGAAACAGTCCTGGGATGGGTGTAATAATAATATAACTTTATTACAACTAAGGCAACATAATCAGATACTAATAAAAATATAGATATTATAAAAGCAAACTATAGAACAATATTAGTGTAAAGGGCCCAGTTCGGCAGTAGGTTGTATGAGAGAATAAATATCATATTTCCGGCTGTCGATACGGTAAACGGAGATAACTAGTACAAACTATGGCGGTAGTTCATACATAAAGAAACAAGTATCTGAATGGTTCTAGTAGTATAAAGAAAAGGTAATATACTATTTAAAAGTAGCAATGAAACGTACCTGTACGTCGCTAAAATTTCGTTCTTTTTGTGGTACTATCGAAATATCCAGTATCTCTTTCGAATACTTTGTTTGTTTCGCGATGGATGATTTTTTACCGATTGTTTGGCCAAGGAGGCTTGGGAAAGTAAGGAAAATCGCACAAAAAATTGTTGAACCAACACATAAAAATAGCAGTAACAGTATGTATTGCGGAGTTCCGAGCATTGTACTTTCCACTATCTCGACGACGGTGCGTAGCAAGTACTAACCGAAGCATATCGGTACCTACTTGGCCTTCGCTACGTTCTTATTCTTCTGCAATTTACACAAAATTATAGAAGAACGAAAGATTAGTGTTTGCATGCTAGAAAAAACAATGTGATTTAAGTTATCGCTTAAAAGATGAAGATTTCAGAAAATAGAGACTGAATGAGGAAACTTCGAAGAAATGGATCTTATAAACGATCGACGCGGTTACCTTTGACGTATACTGTAACTGATTCGTTGATCCCGATTGTCTTGGTTAACCAAGTGTAACGGTCCTCGGTGCAGTAAGTTGCGAACGTTACCCCTGACAGTGACAAAATATTACACCATCGCTTACATTTAAATCCAAACAGATCCTGAAACGTTTTCACCTAAATAAATATTGTTCTATTTCCAGAAGATATTCTATCATTACAAATTTATATTAGTCGAATTTGTTTAAAAGAATTAGTCGTAAAGTCCTTATTTGTGTTTAATATCAGTAAATATAACAATAGTATTTGATAATTTTTAATTTATAGTAGTATTTATTAATATATTAATCAAGTAAATCATGTTATAGGAGAAATTGTAATATTTATTAATTTAGTTTTATAATTACAAATAATAAAATAATATATATATATACATACATGTACATTCTTACTACAATATTTGCTTGTTTCTATGTTTTTTTAGTGTTCGCGAATACGCGTATTCCTATAAATTGTATCATTTCAACCTCGTATTTAGCTTTCTGTACTTACCTACAATTCTGAAATGGGAACTATAATATAATAATTTTATAGAACTTAATTGTTATCATTAACAGTATATAATAATACATTGCAAGTAAAAACGATCGAAACTGCGCTGATTGTCTGGGTAAAATTGAACAACCCGGGTAAATCCAGGTAAATTTGGTTATCCTGGTTAAGAACTAAAACTTAGCGTCTCCAATCAAGTACGGCAGGTCGAGGAACTAAAGAAAAGAGTGGGGGTTACCTCCATGAACCTGAAGGATGGTGTATTATGGAAGTGTACCATAAGTGTATGTACGTACATGATGTAACAAAAGTGTCGCAGGTCCTTGGAAGGGGCTAAAAAACTTGTGAGGTGATTTAAAACAAGTTTCTTCTGAGCAAAAATGTTATCCGAGGCTTAGTTAACAAGATATTAACGAAGAACCGCGACCAATCAGAATGCGCGTCTGCCCGCCGAGCCACGTAGTAGCGTTGGCTACGCGCTGCGCTTCTACTACGAACAAGCAAATTGATATGTATCGAAGGAAACTGCGTAAAATACCCAACGAAAAAGACATAACAAATAAAATTGATATTTTTCTCATGTTTTATTTGTCATTTAAAGTGAACAATGAAGGAAGTAGGAAAATCATGTGTAATGTAAAAAGACGAATACACAGTTCCTTTAGAACAGAATCGAAAATAATTACTTGAAGCGAGAGGATAATGAATACGTAAATTTCCTTTGAAATAATGCATAAATGAGAAAGTAATGAAACAGAAAATGAATGAAAAGTGATCGTAGTTCGTCATTGAGATAAAAATCCGTTGTTTAATAACGGCTACACAATGTTGCTGATAATGTATAAGTCTCCTTAAAAAACCTGACGAAAAATTAAAATTAAAAACACTAATAATAACCAATAAATGAAACAAAATTCACCCCTTCGAAAATTTACCTGCAGCTTGCAAACTGTGTAATTAGGTCACTGTTACGATCCTAGTCATCGATGGACGAAATGATTTATGGTAGGGTGGCCCCGTAGACCTACTTATATGTTACATGTACAAAAAATCTTCGAATCCACACCAACTTGATTTTTCTTAAACGAATTGTTTGTTCTTTTTAACGAATTACTTGTTCTATACATAAATTATTTTTTCAATGCAGGAATATTAAAAGCATTATTATTTCGCACATTGGACCCCTGGGTCATATTTAAACAATTATTTTTTTAAGTATTTATATATTCTGTGAACTTTTTTCTTTCAAATTCATGTTTGCAATTCTAGTCTTTCTGGAATTGTGAACGCAATAGGCTGACAAAGATCGTGGCGTTCGACGATTCAGGTAAGCGCGCCGCGGCGAGCAGTGGAATAAACTGATCATTTTTATGTAAAAATCGTAGGGCTACAAAGACGCGTTAATCTTTTTATCTTATTAATGTACAGATTCATCCATTTATAAACTTTTTTATCGACCATAGCAACGAGAAAACAATAGCATTACACAGAAAATAGTTAGCATGGCCACTTCATTGATGTCAATATTAATTATTACATGATACCTATCAAACTTTGCTTCAAATTTACTTTTTATAGGAAACCGCATGAATTTTTTTCGGTACTTAATATAATGGCTGCAGCGTTACTTTCTCTTATAATGGCCAAGCATTTTATATAGTCGAAGGGAAATTCGTGAGATGCTTGTAAACAAGGGAGAATACAAATACTCCCGTATTCGATGTTCCTGTCAGCGGGCACGTGTGCCCGCCGCCGATTTATCAATCGGCGCACGTACACCTAGAAAATTCAGTTTTTTTCTGTCTTTTTTTTTATGGCGGTCAGTTTCACAAGAACTGGCCCGTCGCGACAGTTATCGTATAAATTTTTCGACTTAGAAATGGTATTCCGTTCAAACCAAACGAATTTCAAGATCGGTTATATTTAGAATCAGGCTCTGGCCAGGAGGAACTGGTTCGTTCAATGGTCACCGTTCCTCATTTCACATGTCTAGAAGCCTGGACAACGTCACTTGTTTCCCGTAGAAAAAATTTGTGCCATGTTTTAGTGTATAAATATAAGGGAAAAAGTTGAAAACAGTTCCGGGACTTCTTCGGAATAGCGGAACGACATCATGGCCGAAGTCTTTCGAGTATTCAAAATCATACTGGAACATCTCTCACCCTCGTTTTTAATTTGAGAGAGAAAAAGTAATCAAATTGATGATAAAACTTTAAGGCCGAGAAGTAGCAACTACCGATTGTGAGTAGGGATGTAAAATAAATGAAATAACCCGGAGAGTAATTTTTTACTATGATGAAATAATGGTGTATCAGAGATATTTCCAGGGGTTGTATCAGCATTATACAGGGTGCGATCAAAAGGATGGTACAAGCGGGCCGGGAGTAATTCCTTATGCAGGAATAAATCGAAATTGTAGAATAAAATTTGTTCACTCGAAGCTTCGCTTGCGAAATAAATAATTACGAAAATTTGCTAGATAGGTGAGCAATTGAATAGGACTATGCTAAAACGCGTGTGATCGTTAGATTTGTTTCTACTTATTGCTCGGACGAATACATACGTATTAGGTTAGATGAATTTGATTGTGTCGAAAAGTAGGCTTGGGATGACTAAATTTTATTTTACGCTCTTGATTTATTAACTGCCTATCTGCTCCCATTGAAGCTACCTCAGGTGTTTCGCAGGGCGCACATCTAGGTCCATTACTTTTTAATTTTTTTATTAATGATTTAGCTGATGTTTTTGTCAACAGCAAGTTTCTGTTATACGCCGACGACCTCAAAATCTTTAGAAAAATTTCGGATGTTAGTGATACGTATAAACTTCAGGCTGATCTTACAAGATTTTGTGATTGGTGTAGAAGGAACAAGATTTATCTCAATCTCACTAAATGTTATGTAATGAGGTCATCCCGTAAAATGCATCCCGCAACCTTTGACTATAATCTTGATGGTCATGAATTAATAAAAATTAATGAAATTAATGACCTTGGCGTTTGAATTACACCAATGTTATATTTTTCAAACCATTACAATAACATTGTAAGCACTGCTCTCAAAACATTAAGCTTTATCAAACGTGTCTCTATTAATTTTAAAAATATTTACACCATTAAATTACTGTATTTTCAATTAGTTCGGCCTCGGTTAGAGTATGCTTCAACAGTCTGGTCTCCTCAATTTTAAAAATATGAGTTAATGGTAGAGAGAGTGCAGTATAAATTTATCAGGTACATTGCCTTTAGACTGGACAACTCTATGCAGCGTAATGATCACGACTATGAACTTTTATTAAACACACTAAATATGCCTTCTTTGGCTGATCGTAGAGTTGTCAACGATCTTTCTTTCTTATTCAAGCTTATAGATGGTCATATCTCATGTCCTCAATTGTTGCAGCTTGTTAACTTTTATGCTCCTTCAAGGTGTGTTAGAAAGAATCATATATTTTTTATGCTACAGTAAAAACTAAATACGGTTCAGGCGATCCAATTTATCGAATCCTGAAATCAGCCAATAATTTCACGGATCTGATTGACTTTTTCACTGGCTGTATTGAATACTTTAAGACATCCCTACATAGAGCACTAAGAACTGTTTAATCTTAGTTAATATTTTATTAAAAATTTCCGATTGCGACTAATTCCATACTGTATAATATATTGATGTAACTGTTTTTAATCTTATTTTCATTAATTGTTATATGTATATGTATACTGGGTTTATACTCGTTAAATTACTAAATAAATAAATAAATAAGGAATTTGCGTGCCTGCTGGTACTATGCTTTCGGCTGCATCCTATAAAAAGTGTAGAAGCAAACTAAATATTTCGTATAATACGTAATAAAAATTTAACTTCCAATTCGTTTTTGGCTATATTCCTTCGGATGTCTTTAGTATTCATTGGATCAGAGGGTTTGCTACAAATTTCTGGGACTACCAAACGTTTTCGAAATCTCTGTTTTTCCCAACTTAACCTGTTCATTTGGTCGCACAGCCTTGCATAGAAATTCTCTATGGGTGTCACCGATCACATTGGAATTTACCAGAGACCCTGACCCAGCTCGGCAAATCGTTCGCAATCATTCTTCGATTTTCACCTGCGTCGAATTATCGAATGATCACACAGCACACAGCCTTCAACGCCCCCCCTCCCGGGCGCTCCACATACGGTGATGCTTAAATTCGTGCATAACCAAAACATCTGT